CCAGGTTGCTCAAAGCCTCATCCAGCCTGGCCTTCAACACTTCCAGGGAGGGGGCATCCACAACTTCCTTGGGCAACCTGTTCCAGTGTCTGACCACCCTCACAGTGAAGAACTTCTTCCTCATATCTAATTGAAACGTCCCCTCTTTCAGCTTAAAGCCATTTCCCCTTGTTTTGTCATTAACTGCCCTTATGAAAAGTCCTTCCCCAGCTTTCTTGTAGCCCCCTTCAGGTATTGGAAGGCTGCTATAAGATCTCCCCGGAGCTATGGTGGGACCAAAGCTTCATCCATTTTGATGTCCCCTGCTGTCCCTCTGCATCATGATGCTTGTGGGTGCTACCCCAGAAAGTCCTGGTCTGTGTGCTTTGCAGAGCACCCGTGGGCCATTTACAATATTATCTAATTGTGATTGCTTAATTTAGCAAATACTTCAAAAACTGTGTGGTTGCCTACAATAATTAGTGGTGTCCCTTGTTGTGCAATGATTCATCTGAACAAAATTAGCTCTGGGCAGGGAGTGAGAGCGGGTGTAGGTGGAGGCTGGGAGCATACAACGACCAGAGAGCAGGGCTGGTCCAAGGGTGTGTGCATGTCCTGCCAAGGCTGACTTGCTTTCATTAAAATTATTTAATCTGATTTAGCTATATAAAAGCAACTTGTGTCCTGAACTTTTTATTTCAAGTTTGATTAAGTTGATTCTTCACCTGGCTAAAGCAAGATGTGTTTAAAGTGAAATCTAAGTGTGCTAAACTTTGTATACATGAAACAGTTTGAGTTATCTTTTATGTCAGATCTTTGGCAGCAGAGGCATGGCTTTCTCATGGACTGTTTTTGAAAGTTGGAGTGAAACCCCCTTGGGTTGTCCAGGATGGCTGTGCTCACCACCAGCACTACCAGGCTCCTCCTGTTTCAGTGCCTTTTCTCAGGCTAAAGCCAGAAAAAACTGGAAAAGGGCCCTCTCCCAGGAAACATTCCCCATGTCACTGGGTGACTGGTGCACGATGAGGCTGTACTGTGGTGTGGCTCCTGGGGACACTATGCATCTCCTCACCTGGGGTGCCAGCAGCCACCTGCCTCAGCAAGACCTCTGCTCAGCCACGGGCTGGCCCAGGAGCACCAGTGCTGGCACCAGGGTGCCCAGTGAGGCCACTGGTTTGCCCATGGGTAGCACTTGGTTGCCCAAGGGCTGTACTGGGTTGCCTGTCAAGGGCACTGAGGGTTGGCCAGGGACAGGATCAAGTTGCCCAGTGTCAGGGACCAGTTTGAGAGCCCTGGGTTCAAGCCTGGTTTGACACAGGTTCAGGATTCCCGAGAAGCAAATAAAGGTGCATCCACACCAAGCAATCAGACACATGAAAGAACGTTAGTGAACAAGGAACAAGGTCCTGTGTATTATAAAGTTTAAGTGAGCAAGGGAAGGTGGAAGAAAAGAAAAGAAGAAAGCTAGAGAGGAGACAGAAGAAGTCTCCACCACCCTGGGTTCCAGTGACAAGGAGCAAAGCTTCTCCTTTTATTCTTTCCTGCCAGCGATGGAATTGTCTTCTTTTCTTCTGTGTCATGGATCCAGGATAGCAGGGGGCCCCTCGATGGACAGAACTGTTGCCTTTTATTTGCTCCAGTTCTTAGGGGCCTTCCCAGTGGGGGGGCTGATCCATGGTGCATGGTGCAGGCCTAGGGAGGCGGTCCAGACAGTCCTGGAAGTAGGCCTTGTCCGCAAGGCCTCTGGCAATAGGCTTGGGGGTCCCTGGTGATGACAGACCCCAACGACAATGATGTTCTCTTTTGTCATTTGTTAGATGCACAATCATCTCCTTCAGGCCACAATCAGTGGTCATGATTGCATCAGGGTGGAGATTGGAGTTTGGAGACAAAAGAGTTCCTTATTAGCAACTCCTCTTACTCATCAGGGTGGGGGGGTTTATATGGGAGCCTGACTTTTTTTGCTTAGATGCCTTTGGAGTTGTTTGAAGCATATTTTTAACAAAGTTCCGGTGCATTATTATTTTTCACCAGTCTCTTACACCCAGCAAAGGCACTAGGTTACACAGAGTCTGCACTGAGTTGCCCAGGGGTGGGACTGGGTTGCCGGCTGAGGCACTGAGTTCATAAAAGCATAGAATATCTCAAGTTGGATCCATAAGGATCATCGAGTCCAACTTCCTGCTCCTTGTAGGACTACCTAAAACTAAATCATACGACTAAGAGCATTGTCCAGCCACTCAACAATTACCCAACAGCTGCACTTGGTTGCCCAGGGGCTGCACAAAGTTGCCCAGTGAGGGCAGTAGTTTGTCTAAGGCAGGAACTAGGAAGCCATGTGAGGGTATTTTCTTGCCCAGGGGTGGCTCTACAGTTGCCCATCAAGAGCACTTGGTTGCCCAATGGCTCTATCAGGTTGCAGGGAGTTGCCTAGGAATGTCCATGTCCAGGGGTGGCAGAAAGTGTCATTCTGGGATGGTTTATCCCAAGAGGGACTTAGGGGTATTTATTTCAGCTGGAAATGCAGGGAAATGTAACCCCAGTCCATTCCCAAGGTTTTTTCCTTCCTTTCTTAAACATGTGTCTGTCAGTATCTGAAAGGGAATAATTTATTTGCAGGGGTGGGAGCCAGGGAAGCTGTCTCCCACCCTCTGGAACGCTGTTTCTCAGGTATAAATAAGCGCCAGAGCTGGGGAAAGTGCAGTCATTTATCCCCAGCAGGGACAAAAGGGCTGAAGTCACTGGTTTGTGGGAACCGGCACACACAGTGGTTTTTGTTGGACCTGAGCACAGACTTTTTGTCCTTGGTTCTGTCAAACTGGCTCAGAGGGTCGTGTTTGGGAAAGTCTTTTTGCTAAATTTGAGGGTGTGATTTTCCTGCTGCCCATCCATCCCATAACTATTCAGCCAGGCTGGATACTGGGGTGAGACTTGGTGCCCGCAGCTATTGCTGCTCTCAAGTCAGGTACTGGGGCAGCCTTTGCCAGCATGGCCAAAATTGGGCAAGGCTTGAAAATGCAGTCCTCAAAGTTCAGGGATTTCCCAGCTGCAGGCTGTGCACTTTTCCTCTCTGACTCATCCCTGTTTTTCTTTGATTTGCCTCAGCTAAAGGACGTGTTCTCCTGTTGTTTATTTAATAGCCACATTTTGAGACACTGTTCATCTGAATGCATTGAACCGTTCGCTACAGGCACGGGTGGCACAAAAAGTCTCTTAGGTCATGTGTCCCCATAGCTAGACGTTGGAAAACACGCAGTTTAATGAGTTGTGATGTCTGCTCCTCACCTGGTGTAAACGTGCACGGCTCCAAGAGAGCAAACAGCCTGCAAGTGTCTGGCATTAAAGAGGGTTACCAGCGGTGTAGAGTCACAGCAGCTCACAGGCAGAGCCTGCATGTCTCCATGTACCTCCCATCTATCACTTTTGAAGCTTTCAAGTAGGAAACCATGACTCGTTAGTCCTGCCCTTGTGTAGAGAGGAGGCATTCCTCGTTGCAGAGGTGACTAAAGTGAAAGAAACTCTCTTTCCCACGGGCTTTGTGGTTTTAAAAATAAGCCAGCCTCTCTTAGCTCTCCTACACATGCAAATTGATCAGGGTAGCCCAGGAGGAGCAATTAAATCTCTAGTCATGTGGTTGCTTGTGTGTATGCTTTGTTCTAGAATAAAAGCAAGTTTATTTCATACAAACATCCCATTTTTAAAGGAATAAACTTGATTTTATGCTGTAACAAATCGGATTTAGCACATGGTTTGTGTCAAACCCCACTCCCATCCAGGGATCTTATTGTAGTGCACTGGTGTTCCAATCTTTCACTGGGGCTCTGAGCCAGGCTGGGAGCAGCGCGGATGGGACGGTGTTAGGGGAAGGACACATCCCTGCAATACAGCAGCTGGCTACAACAGCCATAGGGACTTATTCTGACAGTGTGTGACACTTGTAACCTTACAAGAGCTTCATACCAAGCTCAACATACCCTCCTGAGTGTTTGTCCTCAGATTCGATTCATTAGGTACATTTGGTGGCCATCTGCTTTGCATTTCTGATAACAACTGACTGATAACCTCAGTCTGAAAAGGGCAATAGCAGCCACAGTGCCGTATGCAATCACTGGCAGCAAAATCTCCCTGTGTGGCCTTTCCTCCTAGGGTTACTGCAAAGCTGGTGTTTACAAACCACTCTTAAAAGACTTTGTAGGATATCTCCTTTCCAAGTGCATTTATTTTACAAGTGAGCCATAGACATTTCTCTTCCTTTGCAAGTCAAGAGATGGCTGTTCTTTTGAGGCCGAAATAGGTGCGGGGTTTTCAAATTTGGATATAGTCCTGCAAAGCTCAGCTCACCAGCAGACTCCTCACTCTAGCATTTAATTAAAGTAAAGACAGAGGCAATGAGGATGGAGTCCTTCATCCACAAATTGCACTGGGTTGGAAGCAGCTCTGTGTCCAAAACTTTCGGAGCTGGTAATGGAACTTTTAAAGAGAAAATTACATCTGGAGTACTATAAAATCAGCAGATACGTCAGCCAAAAGAAAGAAATGAGCAGCAGAGAATCAGCAACTACAGTTTCACTGGATTGACAGATTTTAGGATTTCTCCTTAGCAGCCATGATTTGTTACTCTCCGCATTTCAAGACCTGATGCTGGATACTAACAACACTGTCAGATTCTTATATATACAAATGCTTGGGATGCCGTCAGAAGGGGTTTGCTTGCAAGAGTTTTAGGCCTGTACAGGTGACGTGTGGATGCTGTGTGCATCACTGTTTCTGTTACAAGTTGCATGTGTTGCTGTAAGAAGTAATGCCAGTGCAGGAGCTTACTGAGTGAGGCTGCCGTCTTCTGCCTCCTCCTCTGTGCAGGACACATACCTGAATAGCAGCGTTTCCAGTTAATGCTCTGGCTGCAGCTCTAGCCCATATTTCAGGTGCTACTTCCATTGAACAGTGTTCCCTGCTGAAATCAGATGCGGGATTTGTTACAATGATACTACACTGCTCTGAAGAAATAAACAATATGAGCTATGCTTGGCGAAGACTGCGAGACCAGTGCACTCAGAGACATGAAGAAACGACTGGAGAGAGCCTTGGCCGAGATAGAGGCCTCTCTCCAGGTAAGCCCCATGTCCAGTGGGCTGCAAGCCTACCACTGAAACATCTGCAGCCATTCAAATGTCTAATTAAGTTTCATTGCAGCTCTGTAACATCTAGAAAGTTTTTATTAAGAGACTATTAGTTAAGTTCGTAATAAACAAATCCCTTGCCATCTGATGCATACCCTATCAGCACATGCTGAGCACATCAGAACAGCATTTGCTTGACTAAATGTTTTTATAAGTGGTATCCACATCCTGGTTTGCAAAACATAAGCCCAGGCCTTACTTCGAGGCTCTGGTGAGGTCAGCATCGAGGCTGCCACTGGTCCCTGCATTCAGCTGTGGTTGCACCAGGGACATGTGTGCTCCCTCATGTTGATTTAACGCTGATGTTGCAGCGTGGCTGCTCATTGTCAGCTTAAACCAGCTGCCCTGGGCACTTTTTGCCCCTGCTGTCATCTCTGTGCCCACCTATAATTTCTTTTCTTACATTATTTGAGATGAGGACCATTTGTACCCCTGCAGCCAGCAGTGATGGCATGTCCTCAACAGGTCACCCAGGAGTGTCTGCTTCACCAGGAGAAGAAGATGGGCAGAGACTTAGTCCACGATGATGTGGAAGAACAGCTTTGGACAGTAAGTGTGGCAACTCAGATCATGTGTTTAAAGTTATTTTTACCTAAACTGCCCTAAACAGGTTTTGCAGCCTTGTTCCCTAACTGGCTTCTCAGTGCTGGTGAGGTGCCATACTCTTCAAACCCCCAAAACCTGCTGGGCCAGGAGACGGTGTTCCCCCATGCAGCAGCCTACCCATGCGGTGGGGGTAAGACTTGTCCTTACAGAAGAAGGAATAGCTGGTAATCAGCTGAGGGTTTGTGTAGCGTATTGGGATCCTCTGTCCCTCTTCAAGCAGTTTGTCAGACTGTCCTGCCTTTCAGAGCCCTGTCCAAACTGGATCTAGATGTGTCTGTACCACATACATATGATATAGCTATATATCTATATCACATGCCTATATATGTATCTCACATACACATATGGAGAAGGCGGTGTGTGCCCGACAGCTTGTCTGGTTTTCCCAACTATATTAGTTGGTCTAATAAAAGATATTACATCTACCCCCAGCTTCGCTTTCCTCAGAGCAGCATGGCCACAGTAGGACTGCTGCCATGTGTGCTTAGACAATCTATTTTATAGAAACCATAAAAACATGTACTCCTGCCTGCCTTCATATAGTCTGTTTTAAATTACAAATAAAAAGCAAACATGGCAAGAGCTGGCACAGAAGTTGGGATCCTAATGCAGGATACACTGACATACAATCATGGCAAAGACATCCTGAAACTGGGAAGGAAACTGCAGCCCCTGGGACTGTGAAGCCACTTCTCTGATGGAAGATTTTTTTCTTATGAGTCAAGCCCTAAAAAATTAGAAGATCAGTTTAAAGGCCATGAGATTTTAGGAAAATAATCAGGACTGGTATCTCCATAATGGCATTTTGGATTTTAAGTGTTTAGGACACATGTATGCCATGCTTTTTAGCTGGCTCCTATAAACAGGAGGGCTTAAAAATTACTGAGTTTGGAGCACTAATCACCTGCCTCCAGTAGTGGAGGCTTCACAAATGCTATAGATTTGTGCTGAAGTCAAGTGAGCTGAGAGCAACACATTCCTTTCTCCAGTGGAGCTGAATGTTTCTTAGAAATGACTGGGGATTTACACCATAATAAAGTTCATCTCCTCTTGTCCCATATGGATGAGATTTCTCCTGGGGAGGAGAACACTTGGGGAGCAAAAAGGGCAGATGCTGGTTTGGGGATGGGGTCCAGGGAACCACTATGCCTGTTCATACCAGGTCAGGATCTGTCCCTGTCCATGCAGCATGACTAACCAGCACTTGACACTGATGTCAGGATGAGTGAATCCAAGGGCTGTGGCTGCGGCTGCAGCACCCTCCTGTTCCCTCCTGGTCACTGTGCACAGGCTCAGCTGCACGAGCGACTGCGCTGGGGCTGGGGGGCACTTTCTCCACTCCCTGCCTGGTTGCTTTGGGCAGAAAGGCAATCAGGCAAGTTCTTGTGCAGGGTTGGAGAGGTCTGAGGGGATAAGTGTGACCAGGACAACTGAGTGTGGACACTGATGGGGTCAGGTTTTGACTTTGCCCAGGAAGTCGGTGTCATCAGGTCATGCCAAGAGAGGATGCAGCGGTACCTGGATAAGGCAAAAGCCCAGCTGGCATAAGGAGGAGCTCCTATCTCATGCCCTAAGGCTGATGTGCATTTGCAGTTGTGATGAACTCCCAGCAGATCCCCACCTCTACCCACACCCCACAGGTGTAAAACCTGTGCATGCTCCATGGGAATCAGGCAGTGATGCTCATGGGAGGACACAACTGCCTGGGCAGGAGCTGCAGGGAAGTGAGATGGGGAGGAAGCCATTCCACCTGTACATCTCCACTGATGGCTGTTGCTTGTGTGTTGAAGATCCAACCCAGCATGAGCTGGAGAGGGACCAGATCAACAGGCAGGCAGCCCACCACATCGACCAGAAGTGCCTTAACATGAGAAACACATCAGAAAGAATCGACTATTGCCAAGGGGGGGAGTGGGTTGATGCCACGTGAGTGCACATCAGGTGGCATGTGAGCACAGATCTGTCCCCAGGATGCATGGTGCCTCTCCCTGGCAGGGAGCTGGTTGTCCCCTGCCCACTCTAAAGACAAGCGTCTCTGCATGGCACATCTATCCTGCCTGGAGACACCCACCTTGGAGGGGCCATTTCTCTCCACTCACCATGAAGGGAGCACAACCTTCTGCTTTCAGCTGGATGCTGAACATCCAGAGGGTAAAAGCAAGTCCCACCTAATTAAACATTATATCAGAGTTCAGAGATTGGCCTGAAAATGAATTCAGTTCAGCACCTCTGCACAGCTCATTAAGTTTATGCATATTTTCAAAGATGTGTCAGCACTTGCCTGAGTGCTCTTCATTGACGTAAAGTCTGGAGGGTTCACCCCAGCATGGAAAGGGCCTGGCAGGGAGCCGAAATGACACAGAAGATCGAGAAATAGAGATCATGGTCCTGGGATAGAGTTCTGCTGCTTTTGGGTACCAGAATTTGGCTTTGGCTCTGCAGTAAATGAATGGTGACCTAAAGCAGCACTCACAGAGATATGCCCTAAGCGGCAAAGGGAATAAATCTGCTGCTCACCCAGACACATGCAGTTTATGGAGGGGCATAGATTGATTCAATTTTTCTAGTGTTGGAATAATTATTCATAGCAGAGCTCAGACTTATTTAGACAGGCAATGAATTGCAAAGGATTGACACTAAAATTCAGAGGGGGGTGAAATGTGCCGAGGATCAGCATGTTTTAAATGGAGCTTATGTGGTATTTAAGTCTTTTGTTGACCTTGTACTGGACTACTGCACAGGCGTGAACTTCATCCTGAATGCAGAGGCAGGGAGTCAGGTATTATCTAATGCTCATCCAGTTGAGTATGAACCCGAGCTAAGTTATGAGCAAAATTAATTGACTGCAGTTGTCGTGAGGCTGTGAATCACTTGACCCTTAAATGCCTTGAGCATGTAAATATGAGGTCTGATTAAAATCTGTATTTTTCTGGGGAAATCTTTTGTTTGTCTGAGCTTTCACAAGTATCACAGTTGTCTTCATGAAGATGTTATAATTTGGTGTTACTGAACTAATGGTGTCCAGATGTTTCACTTTCAGCTGACCAAATTAAGACCATAGATTTAATCTATATTTAATCCATGGTGCTCCCTGGCAGGGTCCATGCCTGCCAACGTCCAGCTTCAGCAGCACAGGCTCAGTGGGGGCCTCTCCTTTCCCTCCCCCAGGATCTCGGTGCCAGAGTTGTAGGCCAAGTTCACGGATGACAACAACCTCTGCTCCCAGAGTGAGTGGGTGGCCTCCGCCAACGTGCAGGACAACATCAAAAACGTGGTAGTGGTGATGCCCAATGAGACGCGGCCCGAGTTCAGAAAGGTGAACATCGCCTTCACCAGCCGCATCGCTGAGACAGCTGAAGCCAAGAGCAAGATCCAGACCCAAGTGGCCAAGGTAGCCTGAATCCCTCCCTTTTGGTGTCACGCTGTCACTTCCCAGTGGCACCACCGTCCATGCACGCCTGGTACAAGAAGACGGACAGTAGCCGCAAGCAGCTGGTTGTAATATCATTTTCTGTTGGAAACTCGAAGTATTGGGGACATTCTTCCTGGAGTAGATTGAGATGGTGCTCTAACTTCATCTCAAAGGACACTGTATTTTGCTAGTGCGTCCTTGCTGACAGCCTGGCAGCGCAAGGATTTCCAGCAGAAAACACCAATGCTGGTTGCATCTCCCGGTAGCTACTTCAGAAGCGCCGGCTGCCCTGCAGAAAGTCTTTGCTGGGCCGTTGCTGGGGTGCTTGCCAGGCTCGCTTCGCCTCCAAGGACGTGCTTTCAGTCTCAGTGCTCTGTGTTTGCTGCATGGTTATCCGTGTGTTCCCTGCATTGCTCTGCCAAGCAGAGGAAGTGGAGATCAGTGATGGGCACCTGGCTTGGACCGGTGGCTCTCATGGAAAGCTTCCTGAAAAGCGCTCGACACAGTGTTGATTGACTGAGCAGAGACTGGGCTTGCAGCACTGCGGGCTGATGCCATGTGCTTACATGAGGATCCATTAAAAACCTTCCCTCTATTAGATGCTCATGATGGATGATGAGTTCCTGTAAGCAGTAATTTTGGGAAGCTGACAATTCAATAGACCCACCGCTGCTCCAAAACCTCCTCTGATGTGACAACAACAGCAAAGAGAGGCTTTTCCCTGAAGAGAAATCGCTGCTGGATCTGTGCCTGGATATGTGACAGTGACAGTGGTCTGAGCCCTGCTTATTGAACTTGGGTTTTTTCTGCAGATGACAGGGGAAAAGGGAAATGAGGTGGTCCCTTGAGAACATATTTTTAAATTTATGCATGTGTTTCTTTTTCATGCCAGACACTTTAGGAAGTCTTCCAGATCGAGATGACCATAGAAGCCATCCATAAAGCCATGAGAGACACCTGGTCCCCATTGAAAGTGGCTCAAACGCAATTTGATGAGCGCACACGGAGACCAAACATGTTGTTGTCCCATTTTGGACAAAGAGTCCGCACTCAAAGTGGCTCAGACACAATTAGATGAGCGCACATGGAGCAGAGCCTGATGCCACCCCATGAGGGGCTGGATTTTTGCCACTTGGGTAAACTTCATCTTCTCTCCTGCCTGTTTCCTGGTGGCTGGATGTGCTCAGTTCCAAAGGATAAGCCTTTTACTCTCTGACAGACTCATGATGAGAGTACTGTGTTGGGTTTATTTGTATGTGGGGGGGGAGTTTTTGCTAGTGGGGGAAGGGGCTACATTGATGGGTCCTGTGAGAAGCTTCGAGAAGCTTTCCTGGCTCCCAGGCAGACCTGCCCCCAGCCCAGGCTGGGCCAGTTAGTGATAGGGAAACGCCTCTTCAAATCCATATTTATGAGGGGAGGAACCAGTTTGAAAAAGAAGGAGAGAGCCATCCAGAGAGACCATTGAACCATTGACTTGAAGGGAAAAAAAAGACCATTGGCCTGAACCAAAGAGGGCATCGACTGTGAGGAAGGAGGAGGAAGAGGGGAGACAGAGAACCTCAGACACACAGATTAGCATGCAGAAGAGTAGGAGGAGGTAAATGGGGTCCCCTGCAGCACATGGAGGTTCAACAGCAGAGCAGGTATTCATGTGTAGGCCATGGAGGACTCCACACCAGAGGAGGAGCCTGTGCTGGAGGGCATCACATTGAGAGCTCGTCACAAGCACGAAGACTCCAGAGATTCTCATGCCAGAGCTGGGTGAGGAGGTGCACTGGATCTGAGACCTGTCTGCAGCCCATGGACATCCCCATGCTGGAGCTGGGAGCTGTGCCCGAAGAGGTCTGTGACTCCATGGGTGGCCCACATTGGAACACTTTGTTCCCGAGCTCTTTTAGCCTGCAGGAGGGACCACATGCTGGAAAGAAGAAAGAGTGGCAAAGACAAACTGACTGCAACCTCCATTCCCTGTCCCCTGTGCTGCTGGGGAGGAGAAGGCAGAGAAATGGGGAGCGGTGGGGGGAAGGTGTTGTAAGATGTGGTGGTTATGTCTCACTATCCCACTCTGGTTGATTGGTAATGAATTAAACTGATTTTTCTTCCCCAAGTCGCGTCTGTTTTGCCCGTGACCATAACTGGTGAGTGAGCCCTTCCTATCCTCATCCCAACCCTTGAGCCCTTTGGTGTGTTTCTTTCCCCATCTCACCAGGTGGCGGGGACTGAGTGAAGGACTGTGTGGTCTGAGCCTTATCCAACCTGGCCTTAAACACTTCCAGGGAGGGGGCATCCACAAATTCCTTGGGCAACCTGTTCCAGTGTCTCACCATTCTCACAGGAAAGAATTTCTTCCTAATATCTTGTCTTGGGTTTGGGTGGCAAGGTTTTGGTAGCGGGGGGGGACATGGGGTGGCTTCTGTGAGAAGCT